CTGTTTTCTATTCTATTCTATTCCTATATTCTATTCTATTCTATTCTATTCTGTTGTTTTCTATTCTTATTCTATTCTGTTTTCTATTCTATTCCTATATTCTATTCTATTTTCTATTCTGTTCTCTATCCCATTCCATCCCATCCCATTCTATTTAAATTCTATTCTTTTATCCTTCTATTCTATTCTATTGTACCCTATGACTATTATTAAGTATTGTACCTGATGATTCCTGATGAATGCATCATTTCTTTTATGGACACTGAGAGCATTTGCACCAAAACAAATTCCTTGTGTGTCCAATCACACTTGGCCAATAAAGAATATTCCTATTCCTATTTTATTCTATTCCTATTTCTATTCTATTCTATTCCATTCTTTCATAATTCTATTCTATTCCTATATTCTGTTCTATTCTATTTCTATTCTATTCTTCATTCCAATATCCATTCTATTCTCTTTTCTATTCTATACTCTTTTCTGTTCTCTCCTATTCTATTCTATTCTATTCTATTCTCTCCTATTCTATTCTATTCTATTCTATTCTATTCTCTTTTCTGTTCTACACCATTCTATTCTCTCATTCTATTCTATTCTATTATGTTCTGTTCTGTTCCACTCCATTCTTCGTTCCACTATCTATTCTATTCTATTCCTGTATTACTGTATTTTCTATTCTATTCTTCATTCCATTCCATTCTTTGGCTTACAACTGTTCATTTAGTGACAGGAGCTGCAATGGCAGCTGAAAAAGTGACACAGGTTTTTTGCCCTTACAATTGTCACAGCGTCCCCTCCGGGGGGGATCCTGGAATTGAGAAACTTGGAAGCTGACTCGTATTTATGACGATTGCAATGGGATCCCGGAATCCATTTTGGCGACCTTCGGAAGCAAAGCCAAGGGGGAAGGCCAGATTCATTTAACAACCGTGCCAGATTCATTTAACAACCTTCCTCCTCCTCTCCTTCCTCCTCCTCTCCTTCCTCCTCCTTGTAAACCCCGCTCCCTTCTAGCACTGGTGATGCCAGGAAGCAACCAAGTTCGCAAAGCACCAGGACCTCACAATCCCGCTACTCCAGCTAACCCTCACCAACTCCAGTCCCTCCTCACCCGGATGATGTTCCCTAGCTGGGTCGTGAGACGCCTGCAAGGAAACCCACCCAGCTCAGAGGCCCCCAAGGATCCCCCCCTGACCAGTCCCCCCCCTGCCCCTCCCCCCTCCTTCCACTCACCCACATGGGGTCTCCCAGCTCCGAGTCCTGCATGCGGATGCAATCCATGCTGATCTCAATCTTGTTGGTGGGGCCGTCCTGGGGGCCTCCGTCCAGGAAATTCAGGTCGATGGGCTGGATGGAACACAAAGGCCTGGAAAAGAGAAGAGGTGGGTGGATTCTCGACTTACGACCAGCCACTGAGCCAACTTACCAAGTTACGACGGACCAGTTTCCAGCCGAAACAGTCTCGTGGCTGCCCATGCATTCACTTAATGACCACTGCACAAAAGCTGGGCCTAACGCAAGCAACCAAGGTTGGAAGCGTGATCGTGAAAAGGGAACTTTTTCCCATATGTGGTGGACCTGCCCTAAAGCTAAGCCACATCGGCTCAAAATGAAGAATTGGCTGGAAGAAATTACAAAACAGAAAACTGAACTGAAACCAGAGATGATATATATTTTATTGGGTCGACTAAGAGATTAAAACTGGCAAAAAAATATTTCAATATATCATACTTTCACCTCATAACTGCGGCAAGAATTGCCTGTGCTCAGAATTGGAAAGGTGATACTATTCCTGCCAACACCATGATAATAAAAAAAAGGTTTTAGAATGCACGGAGATGGATCCGTTATCGATGGAATTGAAAGAGAGAGAGGAAACAAGAGTACCATGAGATTTGCAACCTATGGTATAACCGGGTTAGAACAGGTGTCCAAACTTGGCCGCTTTAAGACTTGTGGACTTCAACTCCCAGAATTCCTCAGCCAGCAGAGCTTACTCTCTTGTGATCCCTTCCTCTGCAATCTCTCTCCACTTTGGCGGGTAAGAAACAGACACAGCTGGCTGAGGGATTCTGGGAGTTGAAGTCCACAAGTTTCATTGTCTGAGAGATTCTGGGAGTTGAAGGCCACAAGTCTCAAAGTGGCCAAGTTTGGAGACCTCTGGGTTAGAAGGTAGATGTAAAGTAGATAGATGAAAAGAAAAGTAGGAGTTATGGTCAGACGAAATAACACCGTGTAGAACTATGTAAATAATTATGTAAATAAATATGTGAATATGCCTTAAATTGAACGTAGAAATAACTGCAATAATACTTAGTAATAATCTATACATCTAGGAATAGGTCAATGTGAGTGAACACCCTTACGAACACGCTATAATGAGTGGAAATGTGGTTTTAATTGTGAAAATATGTTCAATATTCTCCATAAAAAAGCATGACTTACGGCCATAATTCTGGGTCCCATTACGGTCATAACTCAAGGACGGCCTGCAGAAGACACCAAACCCATTTTCCCTGGTTGAACCTAGCATAGTCCTGGTTTCTCCCAGATGCCATCTCAGTTGAGATGGTGGCCAAGTTACCGCTACTCCTCGGCTTATGACCGAAACCAAGCACCACATTTCTATCGCTAAGCGAGACAGCAAATTTTTGCCTCCCTTCCCCCTTTTGCAACTTTCCTTGCCGCGGCTGTTAAGTGAATCAGGGTTTCCGCCATTGACTCTGCTCGTTGGAAGGTCACAAAAGGGGATTACGCGACACCCCCCACCCCCCCGGGACTCTGCGACTGTCGTAAATAAGAGGCAGTTGCTAAGTGTCCAAATTTTGATCATGTGTGAGCTGCAACAGTCGTAAGTGTAAAAAAACAGTCCTGACACTTTTTTCAGTGTTTTAAGTTCGGTCACTAAACAAACAGTTGTAAATGGAGGGATACCTAAGAAGAATTTAGAGCATTTTTAAAATTTCTATTGCTTCTATCATTACACCATGAATAATAATAATAATAATAATAATAATAATAATAATAATAATAATAA